GAAACGTTGGCGCTGTTCTGTGTTTGTTCTAATCCGTCAAAATGACGGACTGCTTTCAGATCTTTCCGTCATTGTTAAAAAAAATCCGTCATAGACGGAATTAGTACTTGAGTAAATGTACTATGTAGGCTACTAGGTAGTTAGTTTCCCTCCTCTGCATATGGATGTAATCTAACACTGTTATATAACAAAGACGTAATAAACACTTTCCCCCTTTTCTCACTTCTCTGGATAGTAAACCATGTCATGAATAGGAAAATAATGTACATTTATTTATATAATAATTAATAAATAACAATAAAAAAACCTGAAGTGAATTATTTTCTAACAGCAGTGACGTCAGAGTGATTTTGAGGTGGTTACGTCACCGGTCTGGTTGTTGCAGAGTCACTGTAAACAAGGAGAGAGAAGGAGTCGCCATTAGAGCTGTTAACGGCTCTTCTGTTTACATCTAAAGCTGTTATTGTTGAAATCCAGTCATTCCTGGATACGAGTCCAGACATCCATCCGAAGGCTTTTCATAAAAGGCACAGTTCGTGTTTTCGCTGTTAGCATTCTTAGCCGTTAGCTGCAGCTAGCCTCGCTGGGCGAACATCCAGAGAGGCCTGTTGTTGTTGTTATTGTTGTTGACGGGGTGAACACCTTTCATGCCCCCTACCTCTCTTGACTGCGACCAAGATATCTTGAACCGTGAGTATCACCTCCACACCTTTTTAAATGTTTTAAAACTGTTTTAAACGACGTCCAGCGCACAGCTAGCCTGTTAGCACTAGCCAGTAAGTGTGACAGTTGTTGAAATCGTGTGCGATAAACATGCAAAATAAACACTTGCTTACAACCGTACGGTGCTATAATCACTATATGAAGAACACATCTGTTCATAAATTTCCCAAAACGTATTTTTGAGCTTGAAATAATTTAATATGTCACTTGGTTTACTTAAATTGCTGCTACAAACAATTTTGTTTTAGTCATGGTTGTGTACTTGTTATTATTTTACACTAATGTCTGCTTGACTTTATTATTGTGGCTTGCCTTGTTTACCTGCTATGCCACTTTTGCTGTTACACTGTACATTTGAGAGTCGCTGTTCACAAGCAGAGTCTATTTCTTTCTTTAATTAATCAACATTTAAGACACTTTTATTCGGTCAGTAACATTGAATGGTGCAAATACAGTATATATAAAATAAACAGTTTCCAAAATCAATCATTAACAATACAGTGAGGGTCATAAATAAGTCAAATAATGAGAAATGTTTCCGGGTGTTCCTCTCCTTCTTGTGATTTTGCAAAGATGTAAGTCCATCCAGTGAAGTGTACATGTTAAATGCAGTGTGTGTGTGTGTGTGTGTGTGTCCATGTTTCTGTCTGTTTGTTGAGGAAATACTCAATATATCACTCTTGTTCTTTAATTAGGTGATAAAGCAATTACAGGTCGAGTGCAGAGCAATCCAGTGTCACGATGACATCACAAAAAACAGATTGATTCAAAGGTTTATTTATGTAATGTATGAAACACTTAGATTGCAGGTTCCTCAACAGTGCAATTTACAAGACATAAAATATAAAAATAAGATGTGATGTGCAGTTTCTATAGACATATACAGGTGTAAGTACAATTACTCAAGAAAATATAAGATATACCTTATTCATCCCGTTACAGCAGCATGTGAACAAGGCATTGCTCATACTGTGAAAAGGAGTAGAAAATAAACATAAAAACAAAACTTTAGAGTAAAATATATATATTTTTTTAAATCCTCTGGAGCAGAGAGGAGCTGTGGATTATTGTTATTGAATAGTACATCAGTGTTTCTTAGGGTCAAAAACACTAAACTCACAACTTCAAATGAAAGCATTTAGTTTATTTAATAAAAGAGCACATGTTCAAAGTGAAAATTGGCAGTAGATATAGATTAGTTGCAATTTGGTTCAAAATAAAAAAAAAACCTTGAATTTCAGGCGGGGCTCCGTTGGCTCCGTTGGGCTCCGGTTGCGGGGCGCAGCGCCCCTCCAAGACAATGGTAGGGGAAACACTGTAGATAGATAGATGGATGGATAGATAGCTTTTAACAATATACATCTCCAAAAATGAAACTAGTGGACTCTTAAAGTCACACAAGAGTCAATTAGTTTTACAAAACTTCCATCAGATCTTTGTTTGTCTACAGCAGTAAAATGCTTCTTGATTTATCAAGCATGGGAGCCGTGTGGCGCAGTGGTAGAGCCTTGGTGTTGGGATCAGGGGAGCACAGGTTCAAACCCCACTGCAGTCAGCATGTCGTTGTGTCCCTGAGACTCTTCACCCCAAAGGGCTCCTGTGGGGATTGCCCACAGTATTGAGTATGTTAGTCGCTTTGGATAAAAAGCATCTAACATGTAATGTCATCTAGAAATGTCACATGTATATATATAATTATATACACCCATAAAGGCCATTGTCATACTTTTAGTTTGTATACCTAATGGAGTAGTTTGACAATAATGAATTGGTACTAGTACTTGAGTAAAGCAGTACTTCCTCCTCCTCTGTTCCTGAGCTGTTTGTTGAGTCTTGTATTCCTTCCTGTTGCTTTCAGCTGGGTGGCTGGTCAGAGCGCCCTCCTCCCAGCATGGAGGCAGGAGGGAAGGACTGTGAGGACGAGACGCTGCAGACGGCCTTCAAGAAGCTGAGGGTGGACGCTGAGAGGTAAACAACAACAACAACATACGCTGAAACAAATGTCAGAATGGTTTTTATTACCAAGAAGGTACCATAAGGTTACCACATATGTTTAATGTCAAAGTAAAATAAATACAAATATAAAACAATTAAAACATTTCTAGAATCATTTAAAGGTCCCATGTCCATTTCTACTGATCATAATTCCATTGTTGAGGTCGACTAGAATAGATTTACATTGTTCAATGTTCCAAACTCACATTGGTTTCTCATCCAACATCTCTGTATAGTGTGTGTATTCACTCTCTGTCCTACACGCATTGTTGGAGCTCCTTTGTGCCTGTAGCCATCAGGCTGCACAACCGAGCCCTGTAACCCATCAATAACCTGCACTGAACATTGATCATATTTGCACTGTCTGCACATACAACTTATACTCTCTGTTACCTGCACCTTAAATGTATATATTGTATATTTAACATCTGTTCTTCTCACATATCTGTATATATGTACATTCACTGGATCATTGCTTAACTCCCGTTATTTGTTATTTCTATTAACGCTGTTAATACATGTTTGTTCTTATTTGATTTGTTTGAATTATTTGTATTCCCTTGTATATTCTATGTGTAATATCTGTGTTTCTTCAAAGTCTGTTGCTGCCATGACAAGTGCATTTCCCTATGGGTATAAATAATGGTCCATCTTATCTTAACTTATATTCGACCGACTGGAAAACTTGGTTGGACTTTCGGCAACAGTTCTAAATTGGTTTGAATCCTACTTAAAGGAAAGGAAACACTTTGATTCTATTGGTAACTACACATCCCAGTGGACAGACATGACAAGCGGAGCTCCTCAAATCTCCGTCTTGGGGCCTCTTCTCTTTAACATCTAAATGCTTCCAGTGGCTCAGATAATAGAAAACAACAGAATCAGTTTCCATAGCTATGCAGACAATACTCACATTTTCATAACCGTTTGAGAACTAATTCAAGCACTGAGTAAGTCAATTGAACGAATCAATGACA